CTTCTGCAGGAGTTTTTTCCTCTGGAGCTGTAGTTATTTCTGCTGCAGTAATTTCATGTGAAGCTGTAGTTACTTCTGCAAGAGTTTTTTCCTCTGGAGCTGTAGTTATTTCTGCTGCAGTAATTTCCTCTGGAGCTGTAGTTACTTCTGCAGGAGTAACTTCCTCTAAAGCTGTAGTTACTTCTGCAGGAGTTTTTTCCTCTGGAGCTGTAGTTATTTCTGCTGCAATAATTTCCTCTGGAGGTGGAGTTATTTCTGCTGCAGTAGTTTCCTTTGGAGCTGTAGTTGCTTCTGCAGGAGTAACTTCCTCTGGAGCTATAGATACTTCTGCAGGAGTAGTTTCCTCTGAAACTGTAGATTCTCCAGCTGGAGTAACTTCTTCTGGAACTGTAGTGACTTCTTTTGGAGTAGTTTGCTTTGAAGTTGTAGTTTGTTCAGCTGGAGTTACTTCTTCTGGAATTGTAGTGACTTCTGCGTTAGTAACTTCCTTTGAATTTTCTTCCTCTGTATTTAAAGGAGCGGCTGCTTGAGTATCTGGAACAGTTGTTACTTCTGCTGGAGTAACTTCTTTTCTAATGGAAGTATTTTCTGCTGCAGCAGCCAACTCTGTAGTGACTTCTGCTGGAATAACTTTTTCTGGACTATTATTTTGTAAAATAATTCCCTTTGGCGTTGTAGATTCATCGGCTAGAGTAACTTCCTCTGGGTCTGTATTTACATTTAGTGGAGATACTTCTTCAGAGGCTATAACTGGAGTGTCAGCTATTTCTAGTGAAGTAACTTCTGTTATTACAGCTGTAAGGATATCTGTTGTGGCTGGTGAACTTTCCTTTTCAGGAGCAATTACTTTTGCTTGAGTAATATCCTCTGAAACTAGAGTTACATCAGCTATAGTAGCTGGCGCTGCAGTTGTTTCTACGAGAGTTATTTCTTGTTTTGTAGTTACTACTCCTTCGTTTTCTAAAATTTCTTCTGCAGTAGCAGTTACTTCAGCTGAAGGAACTTCCTCTGGAGGTGCAGTTACTACAGGAACTTCTGTAGCAGTTTCTGGAGTAAATTCCACTGGAGCTGCAATTACTTCAATTGGAAAAACGGTCTCTGTTGCTACTGCAGGAGCTTTCACTTCAGCAGCAGTTATCTCTACTGGACTGAATTCCGTTGGAGCTGTACTCAGTTCAGCTGGAGCAACTTCCTCAGTCGTTGTTAATTGAGCTGTACTAATATTATCAGGAACTATAGGTATGTCTGCTGGCGAAATATTCTCTACTGGTGCTGGAGATTTCCCTTCAGTAGCAGTTACATCAACTGGAGCTACCTCCTTTGGAAGTTCAACCACTGGTGCTGGGACTTTCCAAGTAGTGGCACTTACTCCTGCTGGAGTAACCTTTTCAGAAGTAGCACTGAGTTTTGCTGGAGTTATTTTATGCTTTGGAGTTACTAGAGCTTCTTCAGTCTTAGCTGTTCCTCTCTCAATTATGGGTAGCGAACACCTTCGTGGAGCTGCGTGCATTTCAAATACTCCAATTAAAGCGCTAACTTTGTTTGTGTGTGGAGCTGAATCGGAGAAATGTGGTTCTGGTGTATTGATTGCACTAGCAATTTCATTAATTGCGTGTGCAGACATTAACATTTGCTTAGATTTAAGTTCCGTTTCTGCTGAGCTTTCAATATTGGGAAATTGAAATTTAGATATGCTTTTAACTGAAGACTCCTCGGTGGTAGCTATATCCTGGGGTGTTTTAATTATCTCCTCGACCTGTGGAATAGCTTGGGCAGTAGCAACAGTTTGAGAGTTTGCGACTTCAGATGTAGATTGTGCTTCCGTGACTCCTTCCTCCTCGTCAATAATGTCCAGAGAGTGCTGAACTAGCTCCATTGTGCGGGAGTTAATTTCGGCCAGAGCCAAATCACTCAGCTCCTGGAGTGTATGAATTTCCGTGGCAGTCATAACAGGAGGCTGATCGGATGCCGGAACAGCGAGCATGGGCCCCAGTGCCATGGCTGCTAGTATCTCAATAACCGAAGGAGTATTTTCATGTGACTGACTGTCCTCTAGATATTCAACATCACCGAAGCCTGTTATGCCCTCGCTGAGATCGCTGAGGTCATCTGCTGGAACACAAACGACTGCTGAATGCCGCTGCTCGACAACTATGCACAAATACGCTGAGGTACATTACGTGGATGGGTACAATATCTAAGGGTTTAAGACTCCTAAGCTAATCAAATTTAAGGATATACAGTCTATATATGTATGTATGTATGTTAAGTGTTTAGGTTAGCATATGGGATCAGTAACTGTGGATTGGTACGAACAAAAAAGAGTTGGGCACTAACCTGCGATGAGTTTCTGGCCAGGATCTTCTATCTCTTCTTCATCATCTTGAAAACTCGTTGGAGGCGGCGGTACCAACAGCTTCGATGTCTTCGTGGGCTGTTGAACGAGCGGATTAGTGGTCTCGGTGAAAGCCGGTTCATTTTCCGCTGGCAAGGTGTTTGAGGTCAAACTTGTGCGATCCACTAGCTCATCCAGCACTAGTTTTGTATTCTGTCCGCCGATTAGATGCTTGCTCAAGAGCCGATCATTCAGCTCAGTGTCGCAACGCAACAAATCCATGGATGTTTCCTCAGCATCGGAACCCATTTCGGACAGATCGCTAACCTCGTCGGCCGTTCGATCACCAATCTGAGCACGAATATTCTCTTTAGGAGCGGGCACCAGCATCCCAATGCTGCTCGGTGTGGCCGAACTTTGCAGGGTGCTGCGCTTCTTTTTGAACAGCCAATTATCCTCCCAGGTGCCATCGCCGACCATGCTCGATGTCATGGACATAATATCTAAAATGAGATGGACGACCAAAAAGAGGTGTAAAATTCATAATATAGATGGCAAAGAATTCTGTGATAGGATACTTACCATCTTCTGATTCGGTAACGGACGCTGAAAAATCGGGCAATGGCACCATGTGAGCAGCTATATAGTCACTCAAAACCGATTCACGCTCCAGATCCAACTGCAAGCCAGCAATTTTCTCGGATTTGCCAGTCTAAAAAGTTGGGTATATAGATATATATATATGGATATTTGTATATGTTTGTTATTTACATTGAGTCCCAGTTCATGATCCGTTAGGCTGCAATCGCTGCGCGGCTCAATGGAACTGTCAGACGTAGTGCTCAAAGCTTCCGCATTGTAATTCTCATCAATGTTGCGAGCACTCAAATCCGGCGTACTCTCCGATATAAGCCTCGTATTGCCCTCCTTGTCCGCAATCTAGAAAATAATAGGTTGAGATATTAGTAAACTAGAATAACTTGACAAAGATAAGGGAAGCCTTAGGCAGCCGGCTAGACCTGAGACTGTGTTGAAAAACGTCAAAGGCTGTGACGTCACGCGTGCACCTAAAAACTGAATCGATTTAAGCGTTACGCTGCAGAAAAGTGAAACTTGCTGAGATTTTAGCAGTAATAAAACTATAAAAAGAGGCGTAATCAAAGGCTTATGAAATCTATGTTGAAACAGTTTAAAATACGAGTGCCTGATAAGATATGGCATATATATAGATGTATTACTCAGTCCAAATTATATATATAAAGATAATTTGGGTTCTTTTTCCTGTTGTAATATTTACATTTTGCGCTGACTCGGCCATGGTCAATTCCACAATATGAGAATCGAGTTAAGGCAATTTTTAGGCAATGTGAAATTGAGTTTTTTCACTAGCAGGAAAAGTCAATGATCCAATTAGCAACTGAGTTGGCTTTAACTGTTTAACCGTCTAACAGTTCTATTCAGGCGTCCGCACGCTTGCAACAATGGACAGCAACTAATTAGTGGGGCATGCAACTGTGGCAGCATTTGCCTTCCAATTGGCTAGCGAGAAGCCAGCAAAGTGTGGCCCACAACGAAAGTGAAAATCAAAAACGAGGTTCGTGTTGGCGGAAATAGCGAGCACACCAAATCGGAAAATGGGAATTATAAATGGATGAGGTCAAATATAGATAGTTGCTGCCACAGATGCAACAGTTGTTGCAGCAGGTCATGTAGTTTTTTTGTTTGTTTTTTTGTTTGCCAAGCTAGACACATAATGAGATTGGTTGGAGTTAACTAGATGCTAAGAATATAGAAGAAAATAGAATTCGAGGCACTTTAGGAGAACTCACTCCCAGATTTCTGTCTGCCTCCCTAAAACGTTTTCAATGGGATAAAGTGGAGGCTATTGAAATTGCAATTTTTTAAAGCTTTACGCATCTGATGTTGCTTAGCCAAAGGCCCAAGCCGACTAGGTTATATAAATATAGTTATAATGAAATATCAATATTCTTCTTCTCTTTCTAGTGACAATAACATAAACAGCATAATATCTTAGATACTTTATCATAGTCAACTCTCGATCAATCTTTTTTTCTTCGAATTTTGTAAGCCAATATTGCATATCTAATTTATACATATCTCTATAAAAAATGACTAGAAGAACTAAATGAATCATTTTTGTACTTCATATATGATGACAGTTTTTAGGACAGCACAAAGTATTTATCAAGGCTAGTTTGATAAGTTTCTGACCTAACACAAATATCAAAATAAATTTATATGCTTTTCGGTCTAATTTTATTATCTTTAAGGTCTTTTGATTTCATGACCACCTTCGTTTATGCTTCCTTATCGTACGATAAACAAACGCATTTATTATTTACTTTTAATTTTTCCAATATCTTTCTCATGTTTCATTTGAGTTAATCTTTTTTATACATATCTCTAAGACTTTAAGTCTGGAGATACGCAATTTGGCATTTAAATACTTTTAATGAATAAACAAGCAGACATTACTCAGATATTTGCAGGTGTTTACTATAGAATGAAGTGTGCTCTCACCTCTACCCATTACACTTTCGTATAAATTTCTATGTCTTACCTTATTCAGCACCGCTGTGGCCAATAGATCCTGATAGATTTTTGGCTCGAAATAGTGTTCGGTGCGATGGCGTCTCTTGTTGTTGTTGTTGTTGTTATTATGAAAGCCCGATAGCTGCCCATTGGAGCGTGTATCCAAGCTAATCTCAGAGACGGCGCCCGTTGGAGTCATGAGCGAGTTGCTGCCGCTGCGCAGAGTTTCCGCAATGATGCTCTCGATGAGAGTGCGCAGACGTGTCTGAGATATGTCAGCCAGTTGATCATTGTTGTTATTATTGTTGTTGCTGTTGCTGTTATTGTTGTTGTTGTTGTTATGGCCATTGACAATGGCTGGCAAGTCTGTAATACAGTCGAAATGGTTAACAAAGATGTCTCAGTGAGTTCAAGAATATTAGCACAAAAGAATCTAAGTAACAAATAAAAAAACTATATATATTAACACACATGAATTGAATGGAAAAGTGAGTGTAGAAAGTGAGTGAGTTGTTGTTGTTGCTTGTTGTAGAAGGCATACCTAATTTCACCTCAATGACGTAAACAATGTAAAAGACAATAACAGCTGCCACAGCATACATGCCAGTTATTAGCCCCAATGTAAAGTCCATGCTAGACAGTTATTTCTATATATATCTGTATATTTAGATATACTATATGTCAATTGGGTATATTCACATTTATGAATAGACTGTCACATTTGTTTGTTATTGTTATTTTGTTAACACTCGGGAGTTTTTTTTTTGCTTTGTTTTATTTCTATTTGTCTTTTGTGCTGTTTCAATATTTATGTTTCGATTTTAATTAACGCAAATACAACAAATAATAAAACAAGTAAACAAACACAGACAGATACACACGCACATTTCTCTACAAACAATTAAATTACGCATACGCCGCATTGGCCAAAAAAAGTAGAGATATTTAAAGCTTGACTAAACGCTTGAATACAGTTGAATATAATTATATATATCTGTTTGTAACTAATATTCGCCTTTTCTTCTTCAGCTTCTTTCACATTTTCCGCTAATGTTTCTTATTTTGTTTTTTTTTTTTTTTGCGCTAAAACATAATTAATAATCACGCAGTTATCTATTTCTGCCTTAACAAAAGCCACTAAATTTCTTTATCGCTTCGTTTCGACGCCTCGCTGACATGTCTATTGTGTGTGAACCGTGTCTGTGTATCTCTCTCTCTGTGTGTATGTGTGTGTGTTTGTGTTTATCGCTTGAATGCCGTTAGTCATTGAGTTTTGCGCACAAAATGTCAAAGATTGAAATGTATCTGACTCGCTTTGCATATGCGACCGTCATTAATGAAGCAAAGCCGAAACTGAACCTTAACCGGCACAGATCATACCTAAATATATACTATATATATATAATATATGGTGCACATGTATATATTTATAGTGCCCAAGTGCGCTGTACAAGGTGCACAAGTCAAGTTCAGTTCAGAGTTCGGCTTACATTATAAAAAAAAAAAAAAAACAATGCCTAACATGTTTATGCCTTGTTTTTTTGCACTTGGCTAACTACGCTCCGGCTCACATATATGTATATGCAAGTCTATAGATGTATGTGTGTGTATATTTATATAAATTATATATTTTATGTCGTGGCATAAATTATTAGCGCATAATCTTCTTCGCTTTAAGCCATCATTAATATTGATTAGCATTCAACGAAATATTTTTCCTGCTATTTTGCTGAGGCCACGTTTCAAATTTAGCTTTGATTTTTGCTCATATTTTCATATACTTTTATACAATATATATATGTGTATATATTTTCAATATACAGGGTCAAGGTTGCCTACGCTGCTTTCTTAATAGAGTTCGAGCTTTTGTATGTGTGTGTGTGTGTTTCTGTTATCTGTTATCTGCACAATTCACAATTTACTCTTGCTTTGAATATATTTTTTTCTTTTTTTTTTTTTGTATATTATGCGTCTTTTCTTTTAGTTTGCTTGTTATCATTAACACTTTAGTTTTATAAATGTTTATTGCTTTTACTTTGTTGTCTTTCTTTTTCTTTCTCTCTTCTTTCTTTTAGTTCATTTTTCACCCGGCTTTTGGCTGTTCGGCGCGCGGCCAAGAAAACGTTGCGATCGGCGCGCTATGCGTCTGGCAACTGCTGCGAGCAGTCGACAGCCGCAGCTAACAGCGTCACACGCACACACACACACACACACACAAGCACACACAGGCACCTGCACACTCACACACCAATACATGCACACGCTCATCGATAGCTTTGTAATGGCATACAAACAGTTTTTGCTTTTGTTTATTTGAGGCATTTCGATATTCGCGCGCTTTGTGCGCCATGGAGAGAACTCCATGTAAGAATTGAGAACGGTTCTCATTGAACTGGAACTATGCCAAGTTCTTCTTTTTAAATGTATATCAAAACATTATTTATTGTCTTATGGGCATAAATTAATTTAATAGTTTTTATTACAACAGATCCGCAGGAATTTAAAGCTCTTAAGGAATTCTTTGAAATCTTTATTTATATTTAAGCGAATTCTATTAAATCGAAACGAAATCTACATATGTGAAGCTCTAGCTTCAGAAGGTTATTCTTTTCGAATGGTTTGATAAACTCACTGATGAACTCATTGAATGATTAAGTGAATAACTAACTAACGAAGTCGTTTAGCAAATGCATTACAGTTAGGCATCTATTTTAAGTGCTTTGCTAAATAAGTTGATTGATTGACTAACGTTGGACTAACAAACGAGGATTGATTGATTAAATCAATAAATAAAAACAAAGAAAATCGTATATATATACGGTATATAAAGATGATTCCTGATTATCTGATTGATTGACTGACTGATGAGCTTACAACAAAATCGTTCTACTAGTCGATGATTGACTAATGAAATAATGTTCTAGAAGGACTCTGCTCCCAGTTAGTATATAGCAGTGCAGTCAGTCTGATTAATTGCTTGACTAACAAACTAACTGTTTTCAATTGTAATTTCCAATTAACTGAAATTCTTCCAACTGGTGAATCAATTAAAATCGAATTAGAAAAAAGTGTATAATTTAGAAAATCAATTTACGCAATTCCACAGCTCTCCGTAAGAATTCTAGTAAAATTATTGAAAAACTCGTTTGTTTCCTGTGGCCGTAAACGGGTCTATATTAGTTGGGTTTTTGTACGATTCAAGCTTTGAAGTGATTGACATGTTTATATCATGCAATCATTGTGTGTTAGCGTGCCTCTAACTTATTACACTCAGCAAATGTATTTGATTTAGCAATTTGAAGGATGGGACAGACGAAAAACTTAAAACACAAAAACACAAACACAAATTGTAAGCGAAACACTCAGCAAATATGTTAAATGTTCGACTCGACCAGCCGTGTAAGTTGTCAATTTGCAGCTGTTATTGTTGCTGTGGCTCTGACTGTGGCTCTTGGCTTAAACCAGTTGGTGAGCAATGGCGGCGCACGTTGCGTATGATTTATGTGTGAGTATCTCGGCTTGTCATCTGGTTAAGGCCAACTGTTGCTACAATTCTGAAATGCTTATAAAATGTTGTGTACTTGTTGGTATTTCGAATAGAGCGAGAGCGAAAGAGAGAGAGAGAGAGAGAAAAGGTTTCTGCTTATCAGTTGCATATGCTTTGGCCTTATCACAACATGTGTGCCTGCGTGTATGTGTGTGTGTGTGTTGCTCTTATCAATGAGTGTTGACCGCGATTTTCGTTGCTCTTTGCTTTGTGTTTTAATTTGAGTTTAGTTTGTATTCAATAATTACTGATAGGCTCATAATCCATCTCTATATATTCATTGATTTCTATGACATTCTTACAAAATTACGTATACGCTCGGTTGTCTATTTATTCATGGTTTACTTCTGCGGAATTTTTTAAATATTACGTGTACGGATAGACGCACATACATACATAGATAAATGCATAAAGATAACAACGTGCGCTAATTATAGAGATACTAGAGTTTATTATTATTATTATTGTAGCCATGATTCATGCTGGATACGGGCAGGTTAAACAGGCACTACACAGCCGAGATTAGAGCGCAGTTATAGCAGTGGTAGTAGTAGTACGAGCATTACAGTTATGTTGTTCGAGCAGTGCCGGAAGAGAGCTACACGCAAGGACTTACCTCCTTTGTAGGCACGTGCGCACAAAGCGTTCTCCATATTGATAAACATATTGCTTAATTTCGCATGAAATTTATCAAACAGCTGCAGGTCTGTATGCAGTGCATTTTGTGTATGTGTATGTGTGTGTGTGAATGTGTGTTGTGTGTGTGTACATATATAAAGTATAATTAAATTTAACATTAAGTATGCAATGAATTTAGTTAAAAGCTTTGGCTGACCGCAAGGCATTTAAGCAAAGTATGCTCTGCCATTTGGTGGGCAGTTAGAAAAGTTGCAAATGCAAAAGCAAGGGTCTTATAAAAGACGTATTTAAGTCTTATTAAAACTAAAAATCCCTGCAAGTGTTTGTTCTAAAAATAATTATTGAATAAGTTTTAACCATCTTTTTACTTTATGGCGAGCTAAACAGAATTTATTTTCTGGTAAAATACTTTTACAGACCACTATGAATTCTTCCATTTTAATTTTAAGCTAATTTTTTCTACTTACACCCAGCTTTATAATAATTAAAGCACAATCCGCTAAAATAGACAATATTAGCTGCATAAAAGTTAGCTTTATTATTTGAAATATTTTGCTGCATACTTTTAGGTGCTTTGATATTTCACTTCGATCCATAGACTCGCCTGCCTCAGCTTCAATAACGAAATTGCACTGAAATTGTCTCTGAACGAGATATAAAAAAACTTGGTTCGTTGCCCTGAATCTGACTACACTATAAATGCGCACATGCAAAAGCTGTGTCTGCTCTCTGAACTGTCGAGTACAATTCCGACACGGGCAATATAGGCAGGCATATATGATCTCTATATATATGTATAGCATCTGTATGTACACAGCGAGCTGCTCATTTTTAATTCGCAGCAATTGAGGAAAATTTGCACTCGCGACAGATTGCATTTGCACTAATCAAATCTGAGCGAATCCCCGCGAAACCCATTTCGTATGCCATTCAGTTGAGTTGAGTCTACTTACAGTTCTCGCTCTTGGACAATTGACCGACTTTGATGTGATCGAGATTACCGCCGAGCATTTCCGCTACGATTTCCTCAACATATTCCCTAATCCTGCTGCGCTCATCCGCATTTATAGTCGAGTTCATGCCAACCTGACTGACGCTCTCGAACTCTGCAAAGAAAATGAAATTTAGCTATAAAATCTAGCCTTTTCTGCTGTTGTTGGCTTTTTGTGCTTACGCATCGAGCTGTCGGCGAGTTCGGAGCTGATGGGTATATAGATTTCGCTGCGTGCTCGCAATGGATAGACGAACTTTTGCTGATTGAAGGACATCTGCTCGGCCACCCAGGACGAAGTTTGCTCCAGCGACTGCTTCGAGCTGTGGCACAATTCGCACACCCATTGCGCTGCCTTGGGCAGCCAATTGGCGCACTTGATGCCGCGACACACCTGCTTGCCACACGTGCAACATGTGACAAAGCTATAGAAGGGGAGAGAGCGGGGAGAGAGATAACTTTAGACTGGCACTACTTAGAGCCAATTTACTACTCACTTTTTGGCACTGCTCAAATCCAATTCTGCACAGCAGACATTGCAGTTGGACTGCTCCTCGCTGGCTGTCGACTTCTTCGGCTTCTTATTGACTAATTTGCTACAAAAAAAAAAAAATAATAATAAAAATAAATAAGTAAAAATGAAATTTATTTAAATACATACATTAAAATGTTAGAAAGAAAATTTTTTTTAAAATTAATTCATTAGCAAATCTATAAAAACCTGTATCATTATTTAAAAAAAAAAATTAAATAAAATATACATAAATAAAATATCCATACATATAAATAAAATTACTTGAATTTTTGTATATATATTTTGTAAATTTATTATGTATAGTTATTTTAAATTATTTTTTATAAAAATGTAACAAAAGTATTTTTATTCTTCATTTATATATATAATTTTAATAATTATCTTTTTTTTTTTATTTTATGTTATTTATGTGTATTACTATATATATATCTTTTTATATCCTATTGAATTTACTTTTACTATTTATTAATATTTTTAAATTTAAAAATTATATATATTATTAATTAATTAAATTTTTGTTTTTTATAACCTTTTTTAAATTTTATTTTATACATATTTTACATATATTTCAGCAAAGATAAAAAATTATAATAAAATTAATAAGTTCAATTTATTATAACATTAAGTTTTTAACGAACTAGTTGAAATAGTGAATGAACTTCAAACCCTTTTTAATTTATTTAGCAGTTTAATAGAGTTTTAGCCTGTTTCCAATGAACAAAAGAAATGGGTAAGAAATGTATTATGTATTATGGACTCTCCCAAAAAAATGTTTCTCTACGTCAAGATTTTATGCAAATCGCGAGAATTGGGCTGAAGCCTTGAATATAATCCGGTAGATATTATTCTTGACACAATTCCGAGTTTTATATTTCTTCTGAGAATAGTTAAGTGAAATGCCTATTGAAATGTTACATATATGCATACATTTATATGTATGCATATCTTTGATTCAGATCTTTAGTTCCCTCAATTTATGCAAGAATATGTTTTAGAACGGCTTTGTCTAGCTTTAGACTCTTGATATCCATTCTTGACACAATTTTCGGCGTCTTCTTTGTTGTTGTTGTTGCTGTTTCTTACTTTCCTTTCTGCAGTGCTTCGCATTGAATATTTGTCTAAGTTTGTGACGCAGAATTTGAGATAACATACAAATTATTTGGCAAAAGGTTAAACAACTCTATGAAGGCTGCGTGTTGCTAATTTTTGTTTAATTTATAATTTTCTGCTTTGCCAGCATCTCTTTAATTAGTTAAGAAAAAATCAATATTTTAATGTGTTTTAAATATTTCCAAAACAAGTTCCAAGCGACCAAATCCAAACTGTAATTAAGATACTACTCAATCTCCATCTCTTTCTCCATCTCCATCTCCATCTCCTTCGAGTGACTATTGCATAAGGAAAAATGCGGAAGAAAAACCGTGGATAAACCCGTTTTGACCAGTGAAAAGTTATTTGGCAATTTTTCTATAAGCTACTGGAATATTCAATAATTTTTTATTTGGAATTATAACTTAGGACAGCTTACAACACGCTGAACCAGTTGTATAACAGTATAACAGTAGATATATATTTTGTTTATAACAATCACATATACATATTGATACATACAAGCAAACTAAAATTACATTTATTGCTACCTGTATAGGGTCTACGTATATTTATAGTATTGGATATTTGATAGCTTATGGGTTATATGTAAAGGTATTATGATTATTATGTCAGTCATTTACAATTTATGCAAATTTCTAGAAAAGAAAAAAAAAAAAGAGAAAATAAAAATAAAACAAATGCACGTAATTGAAACCGAATGCTCGAAAATGATTAAGTATATATACATACATATATACTTTTATATCTATATGTGTATATAATGTTAACAACGTGCACAAAATATTAACACAAATTTTTGTTTTTCTTCACTTATTTCTTTTGGAGTGTGTTTCAAGTGAATTGGCAGAAAATTTTGCAATTGTTTACATACAGACGCAAATGAAATCGAAACAGAAATTAAAAATCTATCGTCTAATTGGAGAAATTTCAGTCAAATACGAGACAATTGTCTATAGATATTGATGCTGTTGCTGCTGCTGCTGTTGTTGTTGTTGTTGTAGCAACTGCTGCTGACGCTGATGATAGCGTAGACGCCTGCGCGCCCAGTGCTCATAGTTATTTTCGAGATTCTCATAGTAGATATCCTCCTCCCCGAACTGGCCGCCCTCATCCCAGTCATCCTGATTGGGCGGCCGGCCAAAGATATGCGCACTGGTCGTTAGCTTCAGCAGCACCACCTCCATGGTGCAGGCCATGAAGAGGAAGGCGAAGACAGCGAAACTGATCGGTGTACAGAGCAATTTCTCCACTTGGCAGATTACACCGGACGTAAACAACATGCTGGCTAACGGGCTGGCCGTGTCTGTATAACGTAACTCCTATACTCGCTTCGCGTTGTTGTTTGCTGTTGTTGCTGTTGTTGTTGCTGTGGTTGATGTCGATTTCCTTTAACTTTTATTTAATTTGCTATTGAACTCTGGTATTGTTTTTTCAGTTTGCTTAATTTGGCACTGTGCTGCATGGCCGTATATTGTTTTGTATTTGATTTTACTATTTATTCGAACTCGAATTAACTACGAATTTTATTTTATCTATTTTATTCTATTTTTTTTTTTTATTCGTGGCGCGCTCCGACAACAACTTTCTCGCACAAGCTGTGGTTTTATTATGCGCAGTTCGCTTTGAGCGCGCCAGTCTAGCCAACAGCTGAGCGCGACAGCGACGTCGACGCACAAAGCTTATGCCGGTTTTCGCATAGAAAGCAAGAGAGGGACAGAGAGTGCGAGAGCGACAGTGGGAGAGTGGCACACGCGGCAACAGCGTGAGAGCGCGTGAGCGTGTGGATCGTTGAGAGAGTGAGAGTGAAGCAAACACAAACAAACATAAACGTTAAACATATGCGGATAGACGGGCATAGACAAGCGCGTTGATGACGTAAGAGCTTTATAGCGCCGTTGTTGTTGCAGTCATCGTTTTTTTTTATACCCTGAACCCATTGAAAATGGGAAATCAGGGTATAATGGTTT